ACCTGAGCAGAGCAGCAAAAAGAAAAAAGATTTTTTAAAAATGAGGAGAGCATAGGAAACCTTTGGGACGACACATAGCATAACAACATTTGTACCGTGGGAATACCAGAAAGAGAAGAGAGTGAGCAAGGAATTAAGTTCCTATTTGAAGAAACAATGGTTGAAAAATTTCCTAACCTGGTGAAGGAAAAAGGCACAGAAGTCCAGGAAGCTCAGGGAGTCCCAAACAAGTTGGACCCAAGAGGTCTACACCAAAACACATCACAATAAAAATGGCATGGCCTAAAAACAAGGAGAGAATCCTAAAAGCTGCAAGACAAAAGCAGGTAGTTACCTGCAAAGGATCATTAATTAGACTGTCATCTGCTTTCTCAACAGAAACATTTCAGGCCAGAAAGGAGTGGTGTGAATTCAAGGTGATGAAAAATAAGAACCTCCACCAAGGCTACCTTATCCAGCAAGGCTATCATTTAAATCAAAGGAGAAATAAGGAGCTTCCTAGACAAGAAAAAGCCAAAGGAGTTTGTTAACACTAAACCAGTATTGTAACAAATGTTAAAGGGCTTACTTTATGAAGAAGAAGAAGAGAGAGAGAAAGAAAAACAAACAGGAGAACAGTCTAACAATAAAATGACACTACATACATATCTATCAATAATCACCTTAAATGTAAGTGGCTTCAATGCTCCAACCAAAAGACAGAGGCTAGCTGAATGTATAAGAAAACAAGGCCCAGATATATGCTGCCTCCAAGAGACCCATCTCACATGAAAAGATACACACAAACTAAAAATAAAGGGTTATAAAAGTATATTTCATGCAAATAGAACAGTAAAAAAAGCTGGGGTAGCAGTAATTATATCTAACAAAATAGACTTTAAAACCAAGGCTATAGTAAAAGACAAAGAAGGACACTAAATAATGATAAAAGGAACAATCCAACAAGAGGACATAACCCTAGTAAACATTTACACACCTAACACAGGAGCACCTAAATATGTAAAGCAAATCTTGATGGACTGAAAGGGAAAGACTGACAGAAATACAGTTATAGTCAGGGATTTTAACACCCCTTTGACTGCAATGGATAGATCTTCAAGACAGAAAGTCAACAAGGAGGCAACAGCCTTAAATGACCCACTAGATCAAATGGATGTAATTGGTAGCTTCAGAGCATTTCTCCCGAAAGCAGCAGACCATACATACTGTTCAAAAGCGCATGAAATATTTTCTATGATAGATCACATGCTAGGACACAAAACAAGTCTCAATAAATTAAAGAAGACTGAAATCATATCAAGCATCTTCTCTGACCACAATGCTATGAAACTAGAAATCGATCACAAGAAAAAAAAACTGAAAAATACATAAAGGCATTGAAGCTAAATAACACATTATTAAACAATGATTGGGACAATAATGAGATCAAGGAAGAAATCAAAAGATACCTTGAAACTAATGAAAATGAGAACACAACAATCCAAAATCTGTGAGACACTGGGAAGGCAACCCTAAGAGGGAAATTCAAAGCATTATAGGCCTATCTCAAATACAAGAAAAAGCTCAAACAATCTAACTTTACACTTAAAAGAACTTGAAAAAAAAAACAATAAACAAAGCCCAGAGTAAGTAGAATGAAGGGAATAATAAACATCAGAGTAGAAATAAATGAAATAGAGTCTAAAAATGATACAAAAATTAATAAATCCAAGAGCAGGTTCTTTGAAAAGATAAACAAGATTGACAAATCTTTAACCACACTCATTTAAATATTTAAATAGCGACAGAAATGAAAGAAGAGAAATAACAACTGACACCAAAGAAATACAAAGCATTGTTAGAAAATATTACGAATGATTATATGCCAACAAACTGGACAACCTGGATGAAATGGAAACATTCTTAGAAACATACAATCTTCCACAACTAAATCAGAAAAAATTAAAGAATCTGAACAGACAGATTACACTTAGCAAAACTGAAGCGGTAATCAAAAAAACTCCCAACAAGCAAAAGCCCTGGACTGGATAGTTTCACATGCAAATTTTATCAGACATTCCAAGAAGAACTAACACCTTACTCTCATAAACTACTTCATAAAATTCAAAAGGAGGGAAAGCTACCAAACTCCTTTTACAAGGTAGATTTATCCTAATTCCAAAAACTGATAAAGACACTACCAAAAAAGAAAATTATATGCCAATATCTCTGATGAATATCAATGCTAAAATCCTCAACAAATACTGAAAACCCAATACTCAATATATCAAAAAGATATTAAAACATGATCAGGTGGGATTTATTGTGGGAATGCGAGGTTGGTACAACAATCACAAATCAATAAATGTGATTTGCCACATAAAAAAATGAGGGATAAAAATCACATGACCATATAAATAGATGCAGAAAAAGCATTTGATAAAATCCAACACCCATTTATGATAAAAACTCTCAGTAAAGTAGGAACAGAGGGAACATAACTAAACATAATAAAGGCCATATATGACAAGCCCACTGACAGCATCACACTCAACGAGCAAAAACTACAAGTGACCCTCTTAAGATCGGAAACAAGACAAGGATGTCCACTTTCACCTGTCTTATTCAACATAGTACTGGAAGTCGTAGCTACAGCAATAAGACAAGAATAAATAAAAGACATCCACATTAGAAAGGAAGAAGCAAAAGTGTCTTTAGTTGCAGATGGCATGATACTGTACATAGAGAACCCCAATGCTTCCACCAAGAAACTACTAGAGCTGGTAAACGATTTCAGCAAAGTAGCAGGATACAAAATTAATATTCAAAAATCAGTTTCAATTTTATATGCCAATAATGATCTAACAGAAAGGCCAATTAAGAAAACAATCCCATTCACAATTGCTTCAAAAAGAATAGAATACCTAGGAATAAACCTAACCAAGAATGTACTTGGAAAATTGTAAGACACTGAAGAAAGAAATAGAAGACACACTTAAGTGGAAGCACATACCATGTTCATGGATAGGAAGAAATATCATCATTAAAATGTCCATATTACCCAAAGCAATCTATAGATTCAATGCAATTCCTATCAAGATTCCAATGACATATTTCATAGAACTAGAAAAATACTTCAAAAATTTATATGGAACCCAAAAGGCCTTTCATAGCAACAGCAATACTGAAAAAGAAGAACAAAGCTGGAGGAATTATACTACCTAATATCAAACAATACTATAATGCCAGAGAAAGCAAAACGGCATGGTACTGGTACACTGGCATAGTGTACTAGGCACAATAGAACATACAAGAAAACATTGTCCCTGCTCTTCAAGAACTTACTTTCTAAAAGAAAAAAAAATACACCTCTTTTAAAATGGTATTTTTTTTTTGGAGTTTTGGCAAGGTGAGCTTTGGGTATAAGAACCCCATTATTTAAAGAAGGGAGGGAGAAGGAGGACCTTAAAGCAGCCAATGACAGACATTCCAGGTAGGTAGATTGATGGAATACAGACCAATGGAACAGAATAAGAGAGCCCCAAAATATACCTACAACTTTATAGTCAGTTAATATCTTTCATAGGAAGCAAGCACATACAATGGGCTGAAGGCAGTTTATTCAATAAGCGGCGCTGGGAAAATTGGACAGATAGGTGCAGAAAAGTGAACCTAGACTATCTTCTTACACCACACACCAGAATAAATTAAAAAGGCATTAAATACTTAAACATGGGCCCAAAACCATAAAAGTCATAGAAGGAAACATAGGCAGAAAAATCTCAGACAAAGCTTGTAGCAATATTTTATCAGATACCCCTACTGAGGCAAGGGAAACAAAAGAAAAAATAAACAAATGAGACTACATCAAACTAAAAAGTTTTGCACAGCAAAGGAAAACATCAACAAAATAAAAAGACAACCCACAAAATGGGAGAACATATTCGCCAATACATCTGATAGGGGGTTAATATCCAAAATTTATAAAGAACTAACAAAACTCAACACCAAATAAAAAATCCAATTTAAAAATTGGCAAAGGACCTTTATAGACACTTCTCCAAAGAGGACATACAGATGGTCAACAGACATACAAAAAGATGCTCAATGTCACCAATCATCAGAGAAATGCAAATTAAAACCACAATGAGATACCATCTCACACCTGTCAGAATGGCTATCATCAATAAATCAAAAACAACAAATGCTGTTGAGCATGTGTAGAAAAGGGAATCCTTTTATAATCTTGGTGGGAATGCAGATTGGTAAAGTCATTGTGGAAAACAGTATGGGGATACTCAAAAAATTAAAAATGGATCTGCCTTTCAACCTAGAGGCCCCACTTTTGGGAATATGTCTGAAGGAATCCAAAACACTAATTTGAAAGAACATATACACTCCTATACTCATTGCAGCATTATTTACAATCACCAAGGTATTGGAGCAGCCCGTGTCCATGAGTAGATAAAACAACTATGGGACATTTACATGATGGAATACTACTTGCCCATAAAAAAGAGGAAAATTGTACCCTTTGGGACATTGTGGATAGACCTGGAGAACATCATGCTAAGTGAAATAAGCCATTCAGAGAAAGACAGATACCATATGATTTCACTCATAAGTGCAATCTAATGAACAAACTGAACAAACAAGGAAAATAGAGACAGACTAATAGTAGCAGGATGGCAGCTAAGTAGGGGGAGGGGTTGAAGGGTAGAGAGTAGAAGGATTGAGCAGAAAGGGAAATGGGCTCATGGACTCACCACACTGATTGCGAGGGTAGGGGAGCAGAGAGAGGTATAAGGGGACTAAATGGTAATGGAAAAAAACAATAAAAAAACCATTTGGTATCATACAAATATTAATTTTATAAGAAATTTTTACAGTACACATAGATATAAGTGTATTTGCATTCATAAGCAGAATGAAAATAGTATTAATCTCCTTCTCAATACCTTCTTTTTCAAATTACAACAAAAGCACTAAAATGACATGACATTTGCTAGCAAATATTTTACCTTGTTTTAGATAAGCATTTCTTGTAACTTCTGACAGATAGCAGTTTGGTAAAGGATATGATGAAAACATTGGCCAAGGATATGGATCATCACCCTAAAAAGGAAACAAGACAGATAACTTGGAAAGCAGTTTAAAATAATATTGAAATTTAAGGCTTTCTGAAATATCATTCATTGAAATTGGCTTTGTTTCATAAAAATTCTAGAGCAGTACCCTAGCTAACGAAAAGCTATTATAATTTAATGCTCTAATAAATAATTACTAAAATGAAATAGAATAGAAACAACATTAAATAAGCAATGAAGACAAATATGTGGTAACTTGTTCTAGAAAGTAGAACTGATTATGATGGCTTTAGTATTTTTTTTAATGAAAGGAAATTTATGGTCTTCAAAAGAAACCTGTATTTCCTATGTTGCTCACAAAGCTGTTTCTCTTGTACTGTCAATCATTTCTGTCTCATCTGCCCCAGAGTGACTGCCAAAGCAAAATGTACTTAATACATAAAAAACCAAACCCTTCAAGAGAACCCTAAACTATTACCATTGATGAAGGATAGGTACACAATATTGCCAATTAAATACAAAAGAATATACACATCTAATAAAAATTAAGTGTCATGAAAGAAAGACATGAAAACTAAAACATTCAAAGACACACAAAGATGACAACTTTTACATAAAATAATACTCTACAACACAAACTAACACTCATGGCCCATTGCCATGAAGAACAGTATTTTTGTTAGAAAGTGTTTGCTTTCATCCTAAAGTTTTTCTAGTAATAAAAGTTCACCTCTTGGATACAGACATTTGATAGTTGTTGTTTTGTGTCAACTGAGTTGGCTACCTTGCTTGAAATCTGTCAGAAAAGCATTCCCTAAATAGCCTCAGCAATTTTGAGAAAGAAAAACAAAGTAGGAGGGATCACAATACTGGACATCAAACTCTACTACAAAGCCACTTTACTCAAAACAATCTGGTACTGGCACAAGAACAGATCCATAGAGCAGTGGGACAGAATAGAAAGCCCAGAAATAAGCCCAGGTCTCTATGGGCATCTAATATTTGACAAAGGGGGCAGAAGCATAAAATGGAGCAATAACAGCCTCTTCAACAAATGGTGTTGGGAGAGCTGGACGGCTACATGCAAAAAATTGAAATTGGATCATCAGCTGACACCATACACAAAAATAAACTCAAGATGGATAAAAGACTTAAATATAAGTCGCAACACCATCCAAGTCCTAGAGGAGAACATTGGCAGGAAACTCTCAGATATCCCACGCAGCAATTTTTTCACTGATATGTCTCCTAAAGCAAGGGACATAAAGGAAAGAATAAACAAGTGGGACCTCATCAAAATAGGAAGCTTCTGCACGGCAAAAGAAAACATCAGCAAAATGAAAAGGGAGCCAACCTTATGGGAAAATATATTCGCTAATGATACATCAGATAGAGGTTTGATCTCCGAGATATATAAAGAACTCACTCGACTCCACTCCAAGAGGACAAACGATCCAATCAAAAAACGGGCAAAGGACCTGGGCAGATGCTTTTCCAAGGAGGAGATACAGAGGGCCCAGAGGCATTTGAAAGGATGCTCAGCATCACTAGCCATCAGAGAAATGCAGATCAAAACCACCATGAGGTACCACCTCACACCGGTCAGAATGGCCATTATAAACAGATGCACAAACAACAGGTGCTGGCGGGGCTGTGGAGAAAAGGGAACACTAGTCCACTGTTGGTGGGAATGCAGACTGGTGCAGCCACTATGGAAAGCAGTGTGGAATTTCCTCAGAAAGCTGAAAATGGAACTGCCTTTTGATCCAGTGATTCCCCTGCAGGGTCTATACCCTAAGAATACCAAAACGCCAATACAAAAGAACCTATGCACCCCAATGTTCATAGCAGCACAATTTACAATAGCCAAGTGTTGGAAGCAACCTAAATGCCCATCAGTAGATGACTGGATCAAAAAATTGTTGTACATTTACACAATGGAATACTATACAGCAGAAAGAAAAAAAGAACTACTAAACCTTGCAACAGCATGGATGGAACTGGAGAGCATTATGCTAAGCGAAATAAGCCAGGGGGCGAAAGACAAATACCATATGATCTCACCTATAAGCGGAACCTAACCAACAATACAAAGATGCAAGGAAAATAAGACCAGCAACACTGAAAGGAAAAGAAACGAACAGAGACAAGAGGGAAGGAGGGAGGGGGGGCGAGGAAAAGGAAGGGAAGGGGAAAGTCAAGGAACATATAGCAAGGACTCATGGACAAAACCAAAGGGGAAGAGCTGAGGGAGGGAAGGTGGGAGGGGGCAAGGGAAAGTGGTGGGGGGTAGGCAGAGACAAATGTATTTGAAAAAATAAATTAAAATAAAATTTAAAAAAAAAGAAAAGAAAAGAAAAGAAAAGCATTCCCTGCTCCTCATACCCTACTCACCTTCTCTAACATCCGGGGAGGCAAAATTCGTTCTGCTGGCCCACCAGTAAGATTTATTCTAACAAGAACATGATTTCTCTCTACTGATAAGCTGTCAATTATAAAATCCCTGAAAAATAAACATATCAATTTTATGTAATTAATTAGCAATATAATTTAGTTTTAAAATCAAGTTACTAGAATGTAAAGAAAAAAAGGCAGACAAACTTCTGTGGAGAATTCTGGAAATTAAAGTATTTGTTATTTTTACTTAGAAATACAGGTGGGGCAAAAGTAGGTTTGTAGCTGTGAGTATGCAATACACAATTTATTCTTGTATTATTATTTACCAATTATTGTCTTATTTTCCATATGAACAATTGTAAACCTACTTTTTCGCCATCTTTTCTTTTTCCCTTTTTGGCAAATTGTATTTTGCAGTTTTTCATATTAATAGAAGCCATGACATCCTTTCTCAAGTTCTTTCCCTCCCCTACTTGTATTAGCCCACTGTGGACTGCCCTTAACTGCCCTTTTATGCATTTGTGGCTAAAAATTTTGATGATATGCTATCTTCTAACCTACACTCAAACTTTGGGGTTATTTCTAGGATGAGAAAAGGGAAATGCCAACTTACACTACCATATTTAAACTAGGAGCCTATGTATTGTTTTGTTTTGATTCCATTTCATTGTATCTAGCAAAATGTTTTGCCTTTCATAAACTAAGCCTGGAACATTTCTCTAAATGGATGATAGATTTTCCCTTTGTTTTATTTGCATTTGGTTAGTTTTGTAAGGTTCTGGGAAATGATATTGAATTGCGTTTTTTGACTCTTAAACACACCCACCAAACACTTTCTTATAGATGAGTGCTATTAAGTAGCTGAACCATGTTATTGCACCAAAATTCAAAGACTATAAAAATATACAGCAAGAAGCATGTTTCCTTCCAGTCTCTCAGATTCCTTTCTAATTCCTGTATAGCTAACAATTCTTACTTTTTTTTTTCGGAGAAAGATCCCATATTAAAAACAAGTATGTGTTTATGAATACATTCAAATATTCCTCCATTTTTGTTCAAATGATACTACTATATACAATGTTTGTGCTTCTCCTTTTTCACTTCACCTTGGAGATAATTCTTTATCAAAATATATATAGATGTTCTGTTCTAATATCTGCATAGTATACCACTGTACAATTGTATCCCAAACATTTTAAACGTCCTGCTATAGATGGACATTTAAAAAATTTTTTGGCTCTGACTGGTGTAGCTCCATAGATCAGGCATTTTCCCACAAAAGAAGAAGTCGCTGCCTCAATTCCTGGTCACAGCACATGTCGGGTTTGCATGTTTGGTCCCTAGTCAGGTGCACACAAGAGGCAATTGATCAATATTTCTCTCTCACATCAATGTTTCTCTCTTTCTCCTTCCCTTTCTCTCTCTTTAAAAACAAGTAAATAAAATCTTTAAAAACAATGTTTTTTGTGCTTTTAAGACCATTCCACATTAAGTATCCTTGTACGTAGGCCATTGTGCTTGCTTAAATATAGCTCTAAGATTATCACTGTTATCACTTCAAAAGAGCTAAATTAACTCTGTATTTTTTGGCTTCCTTTGCTAGAGAGCAAAAAATTCATGGAGATACAACTGACACAATAAAAGGAATGAAACTAATAAAAGAATATTTCCTTCACATATTTTACTGTATTTTTAAAAATTACCAATATTTTTAATACTTAGTAATCTGGTTGTGACAATGATGTGTTATTTTAATTGTTACTTTATTATTTATTGAAACTCAACCTGGTTTTGTATATTTCTTGCCAATTTCTATTAGTTTTAAAAAGCTCTAAATGACTTTTTGATATTCTTTATCCATTTTTTTACTAAATGTTTGTAGGATTTTTTTTCCCTAAAAATAACTATTAACACTTTTTTAGATGTGTTGCAAATATTTTCCTATTCTATTACTTGTCCTTTAACTTTTTTTATATGTATATTAGTGTACAGTCTTAAATGTTTAATATAGTTATATGGTCAATATTTTACTTTATAGCTTCTGGGTTTGAATATTTTACTTCAGGGTAAGAAAAATGTTATTTTGTATTTTCTCCAAAAACTCCTTAGATTTTACATACTGATTTTTAACTCACCTGAATATTTTTTGTATAATGTGTGAAATAGGGCTCTATATTTGTTTTATTTCAAGTAATAGTAGTCCATGCACCTTATTTGTTGAATAAGCCTTATTTTCCCCATTGATTTAAAGTATCAATTTAATCAATACGTTACATTGTTAGACAGATATATACATTTGTTTCTAGAATGCTCATTTTATTTCATTGACCTACTTGATTATTTCTGTGCTGGTGTCATGTTTTAATTGCTGAGATTTTATAATATATTTAAATTTTTTAATATTTTATAATGGATCTTGACATTTAAAAAAATAATCAATATGCATTTTTAACAAATGGAATTAAGACATGCATTATTTTCACAATGACTTGATCACATTTTTATGAAAGCTCCCTTAAGTTCTAGACCCAGTGTCTTAAATTCAAAGTCTCAATGTTGCTGTTAAACAGCCTCCACAGCTACTCTCCCTGCAGCTGTCAACACTATCCTGTATCAAACTTAGAGCACCTGGGAGTGGGCCTGGCCTTCCACAGTGTTCCAAGAGCAGCTGAGATGAAGGTGCACTTTTTTTGAAAATTATAGACACAAAAACAGTACCAGCTATTAAGGGTGCATTCAATAAATGTCAGCCATATTGAGGTAATGGCAAGTGTGATATATTAACAGAAAAAATCCAGATATGATCATAACCTCATTTTGCAATAATCAGAAGTTATGACTATGAACTAACATAATTACGAGAATGAAAAAAAAGAGTTCCTCTACAAGTGACACAAAAATCAAACATTTTGTTTAATGAGTTATCTTACAAATGCAGTCTGAATTTAAAGAGGATCAAACTTCATGGAACCATTAAAAAAAGTTACCACTTAACTATTTTGCAACACCAAACAAAAATCTAAGTTAAACCAAAACTGAGAAAGTAATACTCTGTAAGTCCTCTCCAAGAACATCTATCAAAATATTTCTAACTGTGACATGTATATTTTAATTGTTTTTTAACTCTGTTGTTTAAATCTGTTGAATTCAGAGTGGAGAAACATTAAACAGACTATACAGAAAATTACTGTCTTAACAAAGCATCTGTAAAGAAAAAAAAAGTTGTCATTTTCATGTCTTAATAGCCTTTTTATTTCCTTTTTATTTTACCTGTGGCCCTCAGAGGTCTCTAAGATATTTTCTTCTTGAGCATATAGTAATATTTCAGATACTTGATACTGAGCCTCTAATAGAAGGAGAGTGTCTAAATTACAGCACATGACACTTAATAACCTGTATAAAGAGAAAAAATAAAAAGTAGGTTTTACAAAATAGATCCTAAAACTTTAGAGACTTTCTTAGTGTCTTAAATATTTACACATAAAATACAAAGTTTAAGAACTATCACATAGCTATTTCAGATATACAGGGTCTGGCAGAAGTAACGCCTGCTTGAGTGTGGTTGATAGGGTAATAATATGGGTGTGATAATTTATAGTTTTAATTTGAACATTTCACCTAAAATGTCATATGGTGTGCTTGAGTGTGATATTTTTATGTTTCGCAATTACATGCTTATTATTTTGTTATAAAGGACTTTGTAACAAAAAAGGGATGTCACCTATGCCAGAGCCTATACTTTAATCAATATGAACAGCAAAGACTGCAAAAGTTTTTCCTATGAAAATACTACTATTTAAAGACATGGGTAACTCCTAAGCTTTAAAAAATTTTAAGCCTAGAAATAGTACATTTTTTCTCGTTAATTTGAAAATTAGTTAGGGAGGCCCTGACCAGGCAGCTCAGTCGGTTGGAACATCATTCCAATATGCCAAGTTGTAGGTTTGATATCCGCTCAGAGCACATAAAATAATCAACCAATGAATGCATAAATGGGAGAACAACAAATTGATGCTTCTCTTTTTCCCTTCCTCTCTCTCTCTAAAAATCAATAAATAAAAATAAAATAGTAATATCAGCAAACTCATAAAAACGGCAATTCCACGGCTGAGATTATACCCTAAGAATCCTGAAACATCAATTCAAAAGAACCTATGCACCCCAATGTTCATAGCAGCATCATGCACAAGAGCCAAGTGCTGGAAACAGCCGAAGTGTCCATCAGTAAATGAGTGGATCAAAAAACTATGGTACGTTTACACAATGGAATACCATGCAGCAGAAACAAAGAACTCCTATCCTTCGCGACCAGACAGATGGAATTGGAAAATGTAATATTTATTACACTAAGCGAAATAAGCAATGGGGTGAAAAACAAATACTATATGATCTCACCTATAAGTGGAACCTAATCAACAAACAAGTTGAGAACAATACAAACAAAAAAAACAAACAAGTGAGAAAAAAAGAACCAGAGACTTGGAAATAAAGAACAAACTGACAGTGGCCGGAGAGGAGAAGGGGGAGGGATAATGGGGGACAACAGGGGGTCGCCAAGGAGCATGTATGAAGGACCCATGAACAAAGACAATGGGGGGAGGACTGAATGTGGGAGATGGGCGTGGGTAGAGCAGGGGAGAATAATGGGGGAAAAATAGGGACAACTGTAACTGAACAACAATAAAAAAATAAAGATTATGCCAATGGCATAGCAATAAAAGCATTAACTTTTTTTTTAAAAAAACTGCAAATTGCCACCATTTTTGTTTTAGCAATTAATTACAAAAAAAAATGACAATCATTTTGCTACCAGTCCAGGAAATGTTTATTAGGTTAAGTATCAATGGCTAACTTTTTAATTCTCCGGTAAAGCTGAAAAATCATAAATATTTTATGAGTTAATAAAGAAGTATTTTTTAAGTACCAATAATGGGTAGAATGTAAAATATTACAGAGAAGTAAAATGAGTCATAAAATGAGGGCATTGATCTACCTTAACATTACTAAAAGAGAGACAAGTAGAAACCATGTGGTTCCTGTTGCAACACAGGAGAATGTACACTGCACCCTCTATAAAGTACTCTTTCCAAAAAACTGAATCTGAAACTAGCCAGTCCTAGGAGTGCACTCGGGTGAAAAACCTGACCCTCTTCTGCAACACTGCAAATGGAACACAGCACAGCACAGGAAGATCCCTGGTCCTACTACAGTTCTTAGTCAAATGAACAAGATGGAACAAGGAGTCATAAATGATCCAATTATTTATTAAGGGTTATCAGCTATAGAAACAATTAATAATAAGTAATACTACCTCCACGGTAAGCTCAGAGGGAACAGCTCAAAAAGGGGACAAAGCACACACAAAAACTTAGGCCTGTTGAAAATCCCAGCTAACCAGGACCATGACACTCTAACTTCTAATCAACACAAAGGTTTAGGGAGAACCTAGTGACCTTTTTCCTTCCTTTAGGCTACTAATTCAGTGAACTGGTAATGGAAATGACTCCCAATGTCCTCAAGTTTATGATTTGAAATAAAGGTTCTATAGGGTCTAGGTGGACAATGAGAAGATATAAAATGAACTGGAGCAAGTCTGAAAGCAAATAAATACCTGAGCGAAATTTTTCTCATTACAGGATGAGCAAATAGAAACTATAACAAATGATGTAAGACTTTTAAGATCTTACAAGTACTAGGAATAATATAAAGTTTAGCAAATTTTATCCAGCAGTAAATTAAAAGAATAGCACACCGTAACCAAGTACAGTTCATTCCAGGAAGAAAAGGATAGTTTAATACAAAAACATCTCCTAATGTAATTCATGACATCAATATGTAATAGAAAAGAACCATATAATCATCTGACCGGAGATACTTAAAAGCTTCTTGATTTAAGATTCAACATCGACTTTCTATTCCCTGTCCTTTAAAAAATTCTAAGTGAATTAAAGAAAGGTTACTTTCTTTAACTTGATTTACAAAACAAATTTATCTCAAGGCAAGAGCTAAAAGCATAAACAGGAGAAGCATTCCCACTAAGATCACGAGGAAAGCAAAGTCATCCATGATTATTTAGCAGTGTTCTAAAAGTTTAAGCCAACACAAAGAAGATGAGAAAAAACAGAGAGGCATGATATCTGACAAGAGATAATAATATTCATTACTAGAATATGATAAAACTGTTTATTTGGAAACCATTTCATCCATGAGATAAAATTCAATTTACTGAATTTTAAAATATTGGTCGAATACCAAATATCTATCACCATTTTAAATACATCACTGTATATACATGCATAGAAATTCCAGTCTGTATGGAATGCAAAATAATAGAGGAGGGAAATACATAATGAACAAAATAAAAAGTTAAAAACCAAAACAAAAAACAGCATGGATACAATTAAACCAGAGAAGTAAATAAAAAGTTCTACCAAAGGGGTGTTGTGGATAAATAACTGTATGCAATGTTAAATACGGTGGTGAGGAGAGTCCCCTCACCAAGGTGACACTTCAGTGAAGACCAAAAAGAAATGCAGAAGCAAGCCATGGAGTGACCTGGGGAAAAAGTGTTTCAGGCACAACAAACAGCCTGGGCAAAGGACCTAAGGTGGAAGTATATCGGGCATGTTTGAAGAGTAGTAAGCGGGCTCATGTAGCTAAAATGAAGTAAGTAAAGAGGAAGTATCAGGAGATGATGTCAAAATAATATTAAGGGTCCAAATCACACAGGACTCTGTAAGGCCATTGTGATGTTTTCTTTGATGACATGAGAAACCAGTTGAGTATGGTTTCATCCTAATGAAATGAAAAACCTTGTGAATATAGAACTTAGATTATCTGATTTGTGATTTAACAGGTTCACTCTGGCTGCTGTGCACAGAATAGGCTGATATTAGGCAGAAAGAGAAGTATAGATACTGGTTTAAAAAAAAAAGCTATAGCAATAATTTAGATAAGGTAATAGCCTAAAACTGAGCATTGTCAGTAAAGGATCTATATATTAAAAGAAAGGCTCTGTGGTGGAACCTTAGGGTGTCCCCCATCATCCCCACCCTCTTGGTACCCATGCCCTTGTGAGACTCCCTTCTCTTGATTATTGACAGGACTTGGACTTTTACCTAACCACAGCCTGTTACAGGTGATAGAATGGATGTGGTTACATGTTTGCATTGCATAAAACTCTGTGCCCTTCTTGCTAGAGTCTTTCCCTTTTGCTGGCTTTGAAGAAGCAAACAGCCATGTTGAGAAAAACCACATGGTAAAGACAATAGATGACTCTAGGAGTTGAGAGCAGCCTTCAGTTGACAACCTACGAAGGCCTCTATCCTCCATGAAGCAAGAAAACAAGACCTCTAAGTCCTAAAGACATGAACAAATAATTCCAACAATCTCTGTGAGTGTGGAATAGATCCTTCCCTAATTGAGTCTCAAATTAGAACATGGCCAAAGCTGACACTTTGATTATGGTCTTGTGAGACTTTGAACAGAGGACCCAACTAAGGTGAACCTAGACAGAAACTGAGTTAATAAATGTGTGCTATTTCAAGCCACAAAGTCTGTGGTAATTTGTTACATACTGATATAAAAATAATACAAACTCCAAAGTTTACACCTAAGAACTGCAAGTATGATGTGCTTCCTATTTGGTTAAAATGGAGAAAACCACTAGAAAGCTGGGGAAAACACGTGTTGAGTCAATGCAGAGGGGAATGCACGTGCGTGTGTGTATGTGTGTATATGTGTGTATATATGTATATGAATATGAGAATTAAGTAGGGTAACCAGTAACACAAAATAATTTACTTACACTAGTAATAACAAATTAAAGCATTACCATGGAAAATATACATTAACAATAGCGAAAATATATAAAAGATAAGAAATTCATAGGACCTATATGAAGAGAGCTACATCACTGAAGAATATAAAAATAATTCAATAGACAGCACCTACCAGGAAGAGAATATTAAATATTTAAAGATATGTATACTTTTCCAAATCAATTATAAATTTAAATATACACTGTATAATAATTTAATAAAAAATTAAAAGATTTTCCCCCCAGAGGAAAATATATTTTTATTTTTTAATTAATTAATTTAATTTTCCAAATACATTGTCTCCACCTTCCCCCCACCACTTTCCCCTAAAAGTTTTTATGGAGCTCAACGAAGTACCTCCACTAATAACCCAAAATAACTTTTTAAAAAAGAATAATGAAATGAATGAATAATTTATAAATCTATACACTCTCATAGACATTTTTATTTATATTTATATTTTTAATTCATTTTTATATTTCATTTATACTTATATTTTTAATATTTCATTTATATATTTATATTTTTAATATTTTAATATTTCATTAAAAATTTAAGGGCTAGGATAGGTAA